TCTCTCCCACAGAACACTGCAGAAAACTAATCCACCCTAACTTAGAAACTCCTTTAGGAAAAGGAACAAGTTCCAAGGCAGTGAGTTACGCTACTTGAGCTCACAATTGCACAGATTACTCATCCTGACACTCCTGAGCACAAAATGGGCACATACATTTGTGCAAGGGAGATGGAATAAGGCATGGGAAAGATATAAATAGGATATGATCTGCTTTTAGCATACATCCTGCCAGTAACTGCTTTATTGGTTCTACTCCTCTCAGTAATTTTCAACATCAGTAGGTCGAATTCCAGAGCAGTGTTTCAATTATAGCCTGGTGAATGATATGATGAATCTGGGAGCCTCCTCTGGAAGAAAGTTAGAAATCATATCAACTATGAGCTTTTTCTAAATGTATTTAGATACATATCTGGATTTGATGCTATCTGTGTTCATGTCAATACAGAGCATGGTAGATGATTTTACTGCAGAATGTGTTACTCTGAAACAACATTATTTCACATCCACTGAGTGGTACCAGAGTGGTCTTTACTTTACTGCAGTTAAATGGTGGTGATGGTGCAGTGATGGACATGAACACAGTGCCAGAACAAAGGAACATGTAATTCATCCAGAGTGTAATGAATGCCTGAGAATTTGACAATAACAATTGGAGAGTCACCAGGGAAGCTTGGCACGGTGAAGTGCGGTGAATCAGGATGATCAAATGATTTTATTAGTTTGCTTTTATTAGTCAGATCTATTTTCATTTCTTTAATATGACCAGGGAAAAAAGAAGTAATTGTAATCAGTTTATCAAATACAACCCTGGCAGAGAGTATGCCACTGGTAACTGGATTTTGTTCTAACTGAACACACTATGTTTTGACTAATCTTCAGCATCCAGGATCGTTTCTCTTAAAATGTCAGGAAGATAAGTCAGAGTAATAGTTTATTTGTTTTGTTTTGGTGTTATATTTAAAGTAAGCTCGAAATATGCTTCAGAGCTGGCCTCATTCTTTCCAGCAGACATGGGACAGATAAAGCTTAGAAAACTGAAAAATATCTCAATTTATCTTCAGACCACCAGCTGAGAGTCTATCATGGGCAGTGGCAATCTAAGCTTTGCCAGTGCCCCTGCCCTATCCCCCTGCCACATGAACTTCACCTAAAATAATCACATACTCAGTGGGAGAGTGGGGATTCTGTAACTGTGAGAGCTAATGCCCAAGGCTCCCCCAAGCAGTGATGAGCAATTATCATAAACTATTCCAAATTACAGACTGAAGGCACAGTGATGGAGACTTTTGTAGACTGGACTGAGACAATTACCAAATGAAGGAAAATATTATTATTTTAGGAAATGTAACATTTTAATACATTGTGAAAAATGATGAGGGAATAATAAATGGAGGGCATAAAAAGAGCTAATAATAAAAAGGAGCTTGGTGAGAAATCCCGCTGTCATATTTGCATTTACCCTGAAACTAATGCCGTGCACATTTTTGAATGCAAATAATTCACATGAGGAAGCAAAATGAGGATGTTAATAATCATTTTTCCCTTAATGAGAAGCTGTACTTTGATTGAAAGGAGCTTTAAGGTGGCCTAAACTAGGCCTAACAAAGGAGCTTTTGTGAGAGGTTTTTTTTTTGAGACTTTAAAGGAATGAGTTAGAATAATATTCTGTCACTTAAAATCCCCAGCATTAACACTGTTATCACAAATCTTATTCCAAATTAAAAAAGACGTGTTAGGAAAATTATTCATTCCATATGGGATTTTCTTTTTCACTGTGGCTATTAACTTAAAATGCTTTTTCTTTTGGGATCAGCTTAAGTTTTTAGGTTCCTTTTCTTTTTTTTTTTTCCTTTTCTTTTTATTCCCATTCACAAAATAGAGATTGTTGTATTGGCTCCTTATCTCAAGACTTCCACACCAAGGTTCTGGGTTGCCTTCCTCATTCTTTTACCTGGTGAAAGCTTGTTAGTCCCAGATGACTTAAATGGAAACTGGCCTCCTGAAAGTGGCCTTCTGAATTGATTGGATTCTTCATCTTGTTAGTGCTGCAGAGAAACAGTCATGGATTTCGTATGAAAGATTTCATGAACTGAAACTAGGTTAATTCAGGTTTGAAAACAGAGTTTCCAAACATCAGGAATAAGGAAATTTTGGACTAGACTGAAGGCACTTCACTACTGTTGGCCCTCACCTTTTATCCATTCGTGGCAAACCCCAAGTGGATATAATTCTATTAAGTTAAACACCCCTTCTGTTAAAAGGAGGTGAGCCAGACTGATTCATCCCTGCATGGCCTGAATCTTGTCCCTCTCCCCGACAGAGGAGGATGGGATCATTCTCCACGAGCCATCACCAGGGCACTGAGGAGCCAATCAAACCTCCTTCCCTGTCACCCCATGGGTGCTGGGACACAGTGTTCGTGTTTTCCACGAGGAATTCCTGCAAGTAGCATTTGAGTTGTTTTTGTGTGTTTGTTTTCAGCAGGTATTTTGCAAACAGCCTGTGGGCTGTGTGTGCTCTGCTCTGCATGTGGTGTGTGACTGAGGGCTGCTGTGCCGTGTGCCACACTCGCTCTGCGACTGCACCTGTGCCAGCAGAGGAATGCAAGGTGAATATGATGAAACAAATAATAGATGGGAGCAGTAGAAGAGTTCTGGTCTTCCAAACTGCCCCACATGGGCTGCCTGCCCCAGGAGTCCTTCCTCCTTTTTAGCTCACATGGTGGAGGGACCTGTAAGTCCCTCTGTACTACACCCGTGCAGGCAGCCACTCTCTTCCAGCCACCATTCTGTGTCAGGGAGATTTATGCACATTTTCAAGTATAAAAATCCTCTCCCAGTTCATATGAACGTTTAGATGGACTCCAAGAGGACAAGTAGAATGTGGCTCACAAAATCAGAGTAAGTTACCACTAGTAATTGTTCCCTGCAGTGGCCATGGAGCTGCAGTGTGCATTTGCAGGGTGGAATTAATATTGCCTGTCATTAGGATGCACCATTTTTCTTATATTGCCCTTAATTGCTTTGATTTGATGCTTCTCATCACTCATGAGCTGGCAGTGGCACGGCAGGATGGATGTGTTTGTGACTCAGGGATTGTTGTTAGCGTTTGACAGAATCAGTGTGTGAACTGAGCTGGGGAATGGCCTTGGCCCCCGCAAGGCTGAAACTAAGCAGGGACAAAGTTCAGAAAGTGCAATTAATTTTGTTCTGCATGCCAACCTTACACACTTAAGTAATTTTCTGTTACATGTTTATAGGTTTTTAACACCTTCCACATTGGCTTGGTTAATTCTCCTGAACGATCCATGACAATAGATTGATGGTAATAATGGCTAAAGATTCTAACATATTTTTTGATTAAAGAAGCATTTCTTTGATTCTTTCCCCTGAGGTTTTTTCAGGCTCCTTATGAATGTTGCAGCATGATTGTGACTTCAGGTTGATCAGCCAACAGTTGTCATCTCTGATGGTGCCACGCTGCCATTTTTCTCCTGTTGCGCGGCATTGACTCCACAAATATTCAGATTCAAATACACTTGGATTACTCAATTAAATCTTAGCCAACTTTGAGGATGGCTGATGATCAGTCTCGGGAACAGCTTCCCAATCATCTGAGCAGGCCCTGATTTAGGGCCTGATCCTGTGCCAGCCAGTCTGTCCTGAGCTCGGTGAGGTTTGTCCCTGAGGTGGTTTGTGTGCACAAACAGGGGTGTAAATCACTGCTTCACTGAGGCCCTGCACACTGCAACTAATGAAATGAAATTATTTGTCCTCTTTTAGGGTCGTGGCTATTTGTTTCTCTTAACAAGTATGTGTGATTTTTATGGGCTAGTTTCTGATTATGTGTTAGACTTGGAAAAATATTATTTCATGTGGCTCTGAAACTGTGCTCCGTAACTCTTTTCAGTCATATTTTCTTAATGGTGGTATAAGATTTCTTCTATTCGTGGAATGGCTTCCCTGGCAGTTGACAGCTTTTACTTCAAGTTTAATAGGTTACAGGTTTAATAGTTTAATTAAACTTTCTAATGTGTGCTCACAATGCTGCATATATTGACTTTTTCATGCAAAAATATATAGAAAAATAAATCATTGTACACAAGAAAGAGTAACCTTTAAGTAGATACATAGATAAATTTGTAAACTATTCTGCCTGAAAAGAAAACCAAATGCAATCCCTCAATTTCATTTTGAGGAAAAAAATGCATGTAGACACTATTTGCCTTTTCTGAACAAAATTAGTTGTAGCACACGCACTCAAATGATGAGACAACTATAGAATTTTTTATATATATTTATTTTTTTTCATATGCATATATGTTGTGTTATTTTAATCGAAATATTGGTGTTATAAAATGTACCATGGAACTCTATATTGGCTGGTATTATATAAAGTTTTTAAAAAGCGGCTACAACAAGCCTTGGATTCCTACTGTAAAAAAAAATCCCTGGAATTAATTTGAACCTCAAAAATTGCAACCAAAAGAGCTGTGTATGTGTTGAGGATTTTGTTATCAGCCACGATTTGCTGTCCTGTGGCATTGGAGTTTCTCTCACTCTGATTTATTGGCCTGGCTGTTGCTGTGCACAGGGACACCCCTGCACTGCTTTCCCAAACTTGTGTCAGGGAGCATTTCGGTGGAAATATGTCTAGGAATTTATCACACACGCTACTTGTGTTTGGATTCCACTTTATGTCCTTTTCCACAACTTTTGACCTTTTATCTAGGCTATTTTTCTCTCTCTCACCCCCTGAGCTTTGTCCCCATAAGACTTGTGAAGTTTTATACTTTCAGATCTCCAACAAAGAATAACAGGGGAGACAGAAACAATTGGATGAAATGTCACGGATATAATCTAGTCCCACAGAACTCTGATTTATGTTTACTTACTCTTTAGTTTTCAAGTATATATGACTTTTTACACCTCTTGCTTTACCTTCAGCAAGAAAAGATAGATCCATGACATATTTGCTAATTGCAAATGTTGTTGCAGGTTATGCCACCTGAAAACTGATAGAAGCTTTATTTTCTGAGCTGAAAGCAAATGAGTGCAACAACCACGGGCACATCTGGGGCTGCTCCAAACTGGTATTTACAGTTTATAGTTTATTATTCACCCTCTGTGCTCCTCTGACACTGGCTGAAGAGCAGCTATCCTGTGTTTTCTAGGCATACTATATATTTATTTATGAAATTGTAGAACATGGTAGTATTTTTCCCTGAAAATGAGGATTTGCAAGTACTGAGGGCAATGGAGATGTTGATGAATCATTCTTTAAGCCATGTTGTCTGCCTTTATATGTATATATATATGTATGTATATACAGAACAAACAACAATCTGTTTTCTATTCATATAATGTATTGCTATATTTTAACTAATGTTAGACCTAAAATTCTTTCAGGCTAAAAATACCAAGAATATATTTAAAAAAAAATAGACTTAATCAGCAAGTATTCCTGGGGCAGTCTCCTAGCTCACAAGTATTGTTTTTATGGCTGTAAAAGCCAACAAAAACTGTCCTGACATCCCTAAGATTAAAGTTTTTGTCAAGAAAGGAATACTTTCAATGTATTAAAAAGAGTAATATATTTAGTTGTGCTACATAAAGCTATAATGTTCTAGCATATAGTCTACACTGCATTTTCAGTCTTGGGATTGGATTTCCCCCTTAGACAACCTTTTATCATCTCATATTAGGATTTTTGTTTTCCCCCTGACTGCTGTCATTAGTGGAGAAGTCGATGGGCTCATCAACAAGACAACAAGAGAAGAGACCACAGAGCTACAGTTTTCCTGGAGACCAGGAAAAGGAATTTCAGGCATCAGCTGCACTAGGGATGTTTCTCTTCCTGCACTGGAGGCTGAATTTAGAGAGGTACTGAAGTAGCTCCTGGGCCTTGTTCTCTCCCTGTGAGACACGAGGCTGAGCACTTGGCCCTGGATCCCTGCTGGGAGGGGTGGAAATCCCACCTTTCCGTTCTTATGGAGCTGTGGGATAACAGTAGGCATTGGGGCAAATGTTTATCAGGAAAGAAAAACCTGAGGGTTGAACAGAACTAAAGTGGAATTGCAGCATGTTTCAACAGTTTTCTCCCAGGCATTGTACCAGCTTTTACTTTGCATACCTCTACCAAAATTAATCAGTGTTTTGAATTTAGCAACCTTTTGTATCCCTTATTTAATCCTGACTTGAGAATTATTAATAACATTAAATATTAGTCTTACTGTGTTAGCCAACTAGTAGATGGAAAAGACATCTAAGAGGTCATATTATTACCCTGACTGGAATCATTTCATACAGTTAAAAAGTACTAAACACATATGAATATTAGAATCCTGCTAGTGGAGCTACCCAATGAAGAATAAGAATATTCAATATAATAGCAATTAAAATGAGATGCAAAAAGGATCTAATACTAATTGGTTTTATCTCTAAATTACTAAATAGTTATAGTCTAGAGAAACAAGAATCCTATTATTCCTAATTTATTCTGTAACAGATAACTGCAATGGTTTAGAGATAGACAGAGGAATTCAGTTTTAGGATTGGTAAATCCTTACTGGCATTTTGGATTAGCTAAGAGTTAGTAAATGCAGAAATGCAAGTGACTTGACCTAACAGAATTGAAGGTGTTTAATTTAAATAATGGGATGAATATCAGTGGATTTTTGCTTGTTAGACCTCTCTATAAAGAGTGCTTGGAACAGACATATTAATGAAGACTGTAGATGTCAAATTAGAAATAAATTAAATTCCTTTGTTCATTAAAATTTATATTCTTTCCAGACTGCACAATAGACAGTGTAATATGCATTTGGAGTAATTTGTTACTACTTTGAGTAGTATCATTCTCAAAATCCCATTTGTTGATTACAGAAATCGTTTAATCTCTTAGGAGATCTTTTGACGACAGTATCTCACCAGTGATGCTGAAACTGAGCTGCAGGAACAGGGGTTGTTTGGGTTGTTTTTCATGGCTCTGTCGTGCAGCTTCCTTTTATCTTTAGCAATTCTAGATTTCCTTGTTCTCTTTTTCTTTCCTGCCACCAGGAAGGGCCCTTTTCAGGGATTAAGAAAGGCATTCCTCCATGGGGGTAGCTCCAGGGTATCTTTGTTACCCCTCATGTGATGAACACACAGTCTGCTGCATATGTGCAGTGGTGCTGAGTTCTTCAGGCCCACTATGTTTGTTCTTTATTGACATATTTCTCTGAATCTTATCATTTAATTAAGTTTATGAGGTAGAGCTTTCAATCATCAGTAATATGTCTGTTTGAAATGGATCTAAGCCACACCTGATGTCTTTGCTCAAGTCTCTATATGCAAATGAACAGCAATCACCAAGTTCTCTCCTAAATATTTCTGAAGTCGATTCTTAAATTGCTGAGTTGGAAAGGAAACTCAAAAAAAAAAAAAAGAGTTCCTTAGTTAATTATATAATAATATAATAATATATTTGTGTACCAGTAAACAGGTTTTTTATGATAATTAGATTCTCTGCTCATGGAAAGTATATTAGAATATTTTTATAATAAAACAAGATGTCAGAGAAGATTGGAGGCAGTTTTCAAGAGGCAGCTGATCCAGTAGCATTGTGTCCAGCAGGATAAATCAGTGTGAGCTGGGAGCTCTCACTGCTCTAATTACAAGAGTTACAGAATATTGAGAGTTGGGTGGGACCCACCAGTGTCATGGAGCACAGCTCTTGGGGGGGTGACTGCTCAGTGATGAGCCACCACAATGCTTTCTTCTATCTAGTGTCACTTGTGGCCATGCTGTACCCTTTGTAGATGATCCTTTACTGCTTGGCCTGGCTGTTTTTGTAAAATTTGAGTGCAGTTAATGATCTTTAACAACTCCATCTTCCTGTCCAGTTTGTTTAAGAAATTTAAAACATTTTGGTGGACCCATACAGAAGCAGACAAGAAGTTTATTTGCGTAAGAAATATAGATATTTTGACTGGAAGAAAGCTTTATTGAGTATTCTTGCCTGAATAAGTGGTGCTCCATCCTCATTTTCCCCTTTTTCCTCGCTGGAAGGAGCTCTTTTGTCTTTCTGGGGAGGAAAAAAATAATTTAAAAAAAGCCTTCTCTTTAACTGTGCACTAATTGTGATGTATTGCTCTGTATCTCATACAGTTCTGGGTTTCTCCAGAGCACAGAAAACATGGAGGAACACAGTTTACAAACATGTATTTTCAGCCTTACCACGGGGGGGCTGTACATTCCAGCTGGCAGCACATTAGCTTCTCATTTGAAAACCATGAGCTTTGTTCCAGCTCAGTTCTTAATTAACTGCATATCCTGACATCAGTTATCTCAGATTTCCTTCATATAATCTAATCCAATGAAAAAGCATTTCTCTAAATTTGGGTTTAGATCCCTTACAGTTCTCTTTCTGAACTCTACCTGAGTTTAAAGTACTTTGAGGGGGTTTGTTTGTTTGTTTTTGTGTAATGAGATATATATATAGTAGGATTATAATTTTTTGGTCTTCACATGAAGAATCTTCCGAGTGCTAAGGGTGTATAACAACTAATTAAGGGACTGGAAAGGGGCCATTTTTTTTTTTTTAATTGGAATTCCAACTGATCTTGGATTTGGCACAACAGATATGTTGGATGTCTGGGATCTGGATGTGTCCTCACTGAAGGAGCCAAGGTTTGGCTTGGGGAGGTCCAGTGACAGGAATTCAGCAGGAGCCTTGGCTGGGTCCTCCTGTACCTGGCTCGCCTAAAATCTTTCATTAGTCTTTCACACGTGTCAGCAATTAATTCACAGCTCTACTAAACCCTATCGATGTTTTAGAGAAATCTATATTTGTGCCTGATATTTTTGAAAAGAGTTCCAAGTGAAAACATTTAGAAAATATTATCCCAAAAGTGTGCCAAGACAAAGCAACCTTGCATTTTCTGCTTTGTGAGGAACTGACTGTGTGAATTGGAACTTGCCACAGTGCTCCAGTTTGTACAGCTCACATCTGAGATAATTTCCCAGTTTAAAATTAACCTGAAACTATTTTTTGGACTTCTTGAGAATTTTATAGTGTGGTCATTTTTGCTTACATTACTCAAAATGTGAATTTTTTTCTTTAAAAATTTATTTTTTTTGGAATTAATCTTGGAAGTTTTAAAAGAATGTTTTAAACAGCTATCAAATTCAAGATATTCAAGATCAAAGCAATTCTTGTTTTGCACACATTGGGGGTTGTTATGAAGTTCTTCATTTCCATTAAATGATCCTGTATTTTCTTCAGTCAATGCTATTTAACTATTCCAGTAATTAATTAAACCAAAGAACGGTTCCTACTGTGAGTCTTGCCTACATGCTTTTAAGTCCATGTATCAGAGGTGAGGATATGCTTGTAAAGTCTGGCATTTAATTAAGTTTTTTTGATCTTTTGTTCTCCTTTTTGCACATATTAATTATTATACCTATGAAGTCTGATTCCATTGTCTGAGGTGTGTTGATGTTTTCATAATATAACAAGGCTTTGTTTCTTGTGTACTGGAGTTATTGTGTAACTGTGATCACAAGATCCCCAGAGCTCTGTCACACACAAGAAAAATGTACTCATGACCTGAGTTTGCAATCCTGATTATTTTCCATGTAGGGTGAATGTCAATAATTTGAATATGTGGATTGATTTCCTTTTTAATGAGTACATTTGTTATAATGGGACTAAGTTCAAAGCGCTTAGAGAAGGGAAACACTTTTAAAAGCAAGAAAGGGTTGAGCCCTACTTTTTACTGTGTGTGATTTTTATAATGAGTTTGCCCAGTTCATTTCAGCAGGATTCACTCATAAATTAATATAGTCATTTGAAAGAAATGTCCATATTTTTCTATAAATAAATCTGCATCTGAAAACTCCCTCCTACAAAGAAAGTTCACACACGCTGAGTGCAATTGTAATTTGAACCTTCTGGTAATCTTGGTTTTGTTTTTTTCGTTCCTACTTCCCTAGACCAGACTGGATCCCTCCCTGCCAGCTGTCAGTGAACCTGTTTGGAATGAATGACAGCAAACAGGGCAAAGACCTGCTGACAGATGTCTCTAAAAGGGACTATGGAAAGGAAGTTTCT